AGGGGGGACGAGGGAGAGCGGGGAGGGGTCCCGAGGAGAATGGCGATCTCGCAAGGATGGAGGGAGGCGCCGCCCTGTGGCCGCAATCGGCTGCCGGCCTGGATCGTGGGCCCGCAGCAGCCAGGCTCCGGCTGCGCGCTCAATCCATTAGTCATTCAGCAAACATTTGCGGTGCGCGTCCAGTTTGCCGGACTCAGTGATGGGACTTGTTGGCTCACACCACACGTCGACAGACATCCGTCCAAGTCATTCAAGCAGCCTCTGTTAAGCACCTACTGTGTGCCCGGCCTTGTGCAGTAAACAGTCGTTGCAACAGAGTGCCCATGGGAAACTAGCACACTGGGAAGAGAGGGAATGGCCGCCGACAAGAGGACAGTAACTTGGCCCGCGGTGAGCGGTGAAAAGAGCAGGGAGGTGGGAGCGTGGAAGGCTGCTGGGAAGGACACTTAATAGACCCGAGTAACAGCATCCCGGCACATGTAACAGCCAGCGAAAAGGGAGGAGGTGTGTGTGTGTGAGGCTGGGGGGGGTTGTGCAGGGTCCCAGGAACATGTGACGACCCCTGCGAGCCTTGGGGGGCGGTGGGCACAGCAGGGACTCGCTGGACGCGGTGCTCACCGGCGCCCTTTGGTGGCAGTGGGAGACCAGGGAGGAGGGGACTGTGTTAGTCCGGGAGGGATGGGGGCAGGGGTCGCGGAGGGTCGTTTTCAGGAACTGTGCTAAGTCCTGGAACAGCAAAGGACAAGCAGCGAGAGAAAGGGGGCGCTGCCTTGGCCTCTGCAAGCAGGTGCCATGAACCAGTGGGTAGGTGTCCGGCAGGAAAGGCTGGACGTGAGAACAAGTCAGGACTCGGGGTGCTTTCTGGAGCCTGGGGAAGTCAGGGGGTGAATACCTGCTTGTTTCAAATTGACCAACAGGTGAGAAATAGCGACCTGGCCAGATCTGGGACAGGCTCTGAAGGCAGCTGGCCCAGTTGGCTTGGGGTGGGGGGGGGAGGGGGGGGGAGAGGGGAACCCAGCACCAGGGTGGGGGCTGCCTGTGTGACTGAGGTACTGGGGATGACAGGTGGGTGCGAATGTGGGCTGCAACCCAGTGGGCTGGACCAGAGTGTCAGACGCAGAAGGAAACAGGCAGGGATGTGACGGGGGGTCTGAAGGCAGAGCCTGAACCTCAGGCCATTAGAGGAGCCCGGTAGTGAGACAGCCCGATGACTAAGGCCCCTACCCCACAGCCTGGGCTCTGGAGAGTGCATCCTGGCCTGGAGTGTCACTTGACGGCTGGGGTGGGCACTC